TTTAAAAGGAAAACTTTGTTGAAATGTATTTTCTCATGTATTATTATTACATATTAGAGGCCAAGTACACAAATTTGAGCAGCAGTGGGGTCCCTCGACCTGGCCTATGGGCTCAGTCTGAAACTGGCTCTCCAACATCCCCTGAGGGGGCCCAGATTGTGAGAGGGTGCAGACCAGGCTGAGGGATCCCACAATCAGGGCTAGGAAGGGACACAGGAGGTTGGCCAGCTGGGGAGTGACTATGGGAGGGCTCTAGGGCATGTCCGGCCTGTCTCACTCGGTCCTGATTCACTGGATCCCAGCAGAAAGCTAACCTGTCAGTTGGAGCATCTGCACCCAGGTGGTCAGTGCATGTCATAGCGACTGGTTGACCAGTTGACTGTCTGTCCCCTGGTGGTCAGTGCATATCATAGCGAGCATTTGAGCTGCCTTAGTATATCATTAGCATATTACACTTTGATTGGTTGAATAGACAACAGGACACTTAGCATATTAGCCTTTTATTATCCAACACAATGGCAGAATGAGCTGTTGCTATGATGTGCACTGACCACCAGGGGGCAGATGCTCAATGCAGGAGCTGCCCTCTGGTGGTCAGTGCACTCCCACAGGGGGAGCTCTGCTCAGCCAGAAGCTGGGCTCATGGCTGGTGAGGGAGCCTCCCTGCTTCCATGGCAGTACTAAGCTGTCAGTCAGACATCCCCCAAGGACTCCTGGACCGCAAGAAGGCGCCGGCTGGGCTGAGGGACCCACTGAGTGAATGAATTTCGTGCACTGAGCCTCTCTCTCCATCTCCCTTCCTCTCTCTAAGATCAATAAAAACATATTTTTAAAAATGGATCAGAGATCTAAATATAAGAACTAAAACTATAAAACTCTTGGAAGAAAACAGACATAAATCTTTGTGATCCTGGATTAGGCAAAGGTTTCTTAAATATGACATTTAAAGCATAAGCAACTAAGGGGGGAGTGAAAGAAAATGAAACATCATTAAAATTAAAATTTTTTTGCTTCAAATGGCACCATAAAGTGAAAAAAAAAAAAAAAAAACAGAAAAGGAGAAAAAATTTGCAAATCATAAATCTGATAAGGGTCTTCTAATATAGTCTAGAATATATAAAGAACTTTTACAACTCAACTCAACAATAACAAGACAACCTAATTTAAAAATGGGCAAAGGGGCCTCGCCGGTTTGGCTCAGTGGATGGCGCATCAGCCTCCAGACTGAAGGGTCCAGGGTTTGATTCCAGTCAAGGGCACACACCCATGTTGTGGGCTCAATCCTTACTGTGGGTCGTGCAAGAGGCAGCCAATCAATGATTCTCTCTCATCATTGATGTTTCTATCCTCTCTCTCCCTCTCCCTTTCTCTCTGAAATCAATATATATATTTTAATGGGCAAAAGATCTGAATACACATTTCTCCAAATAAGATATATAAATGGCCAATAAGCACATGAAAAGATACTCACAGCCATCAAGGAAATGCAAGTCAAAACCACAACGAGATACCTTTTCACATAATCAAAAAGATAAAATAATAAATGCTGTCTAGAAAAGGGAGACACTGGAACCCTCAGACACCACTGGTAGAAATTTAAAATGGTGTAGCCACTTTGGAAAACAGTCTTGAAGTTCCTCAAATAGTTAAACATACTGTTACCACATGATCAAGTATCTCACTGCTAGGTATACATCCAAAAGAAGGGAAAACACCTGTCCACACAAAAATCTGTACATGAATATTCATAACAGCATAATAGCCAAAAATGGAAACAACCAAGATGTTCATCTACTTATGAATGGGTAAATAAACTGTTACATACTCATACAATGGAATTTTATTTGGCAATAAAAAAAGGAAAAAAGACCCTGCCCGGTAGCTCAGTTGGTTGAAGCATTGTCATGTACAACAAAAAACTTGCGGGTTTGCCTGGCTGCCATGGATCAGTGATTGAGTGTCCACCTATGGACCAGGAGATCACGGTTCAATTCCCCATCAGGGCATATGCCCAGGTTTCGGGCTCAGTCTCTAGTGTGGGGCGTGCAGGAGGCAGCCAATCAATTATTCTCTCTCATCATTGATGTTTCTCTCTCTCTCCCTCTTCCTTCCTCTCTGAAATAAATAAAAATATATTTTAAAAAAACAAAGGTTGTGGGTTCGATTCCCAGTCAGGGTATATATCTGGGTTGCAGGTTTAATCCCCACTGGGGCAAGTATGGAAGGCAAATGATGGATTCTTCTCTCTCACATTGTATCTCTTCTCACCCTCTTCCTCTCTGTCAAATCAGTAAACATCAGGATTAAAAAGGGAGGAAAAAAGGGAATGAAGTGCTGATACATGCTTCAGCATGGATGAACCTTGAAAATATTATGCTAAGTGAAAGAAGCCAGTCACAAAAGTCCACAATTGTATGATTCTATTTATATGGAATGTCCAAAATGGACAAATCTACAAAGGTAGAAAGTAGATTAGTTAGTCCCTAGTTCTGGATTAGGGAATCAAGGCTAAGGGGAACAGGATTTCTTTTGGGTATCAAAAATGATTCTAAAATTGATTGTGTTAATGTTTATACAACTGTGGATATACTACAAACAACTGAATTGTACATTTTTAAGTTTTTATTGATTTGTGAGAAGAGAGAACACCAATTTATTGTTTCAATTATTTATGTATTCATTGGTGGATTCTTGTATATGCCCTGACTGGGGATCGAACCCCAAACCTTGGTGTATTGGATGATGCTCTAACCAACTGAATTACTTGGCCAGGGCTGAATTGTACATTTTAAATGGCTGAATACTGTGGTATGTGAATTATATCCCATTAAAACTTAAATATAATACCAATAAAGCACATGAATTATTGAGTCACAAAGTCTTTCTAACCAAAGAGCTCAGTGGCTCCAGAAGCTCTTTGCAATGCAACCAGTTGAGAACTGGAAGGAAATGGGATGATGAAGAAAGGGTTTTCATCTGATTCCAAATAGTTCACTGGTTCAGGTGAGGCAAGTGCTGGGAAAAGAGCCACCCAGCAGAAAAAAGAAAATTGGGGGCTGTTGCTATTTCAAACAGAGCAGTTAGGGAAGGCTTTTTTTGAACAGGAGCCTGAAGGAAGCGAAGGTGGGTGTCATGCGGGTGTCAGAACACAAGTAAAAGCTTAAAGTGGGAAGCTGATTGGGAGTTGAGTGATGGGGGAGAAGGGAGGAGGGGCTAGGAGCAGGAGTAGACATATGCAAGCCTTTTAGGCCATAGCGAGGGCTCTGGCTCCTTCCAACTCAGAAAAATGAGAGGGTTTGAGCAGAGCAATGACAATCCCTGATTTTGGGTTGAAGACACACAATGACTTGGGGCGAACACACAACACATGCGCTGTGCACCTGAAACCTGTATAATTTTGTTAAGCAGTGTCACCCCAATTAATTCAATAAAAAGAAAAAAGAAAAGAAGAAACACTATGACTGCTATGTGGAAAATAGATCAAAGGGGCAGAGTTGAAGCATCCTTCTTCGAATATCTATTTGACATATTTTTTAACAGGGTTGTATTTTTTTATTATTATTGTTGTTGTTATTTTGCAAAATCTGCATGTTTTTAATGCTGGTGAGCTATAGTTTTGGTTAGGAAAAAAAGCATAGTCAGTATTTTTTTTTACTCCTTTCTTTTCATCATGTATAGATGGAGATTACAAGTGTCAATTTAAATTTTTTTCACACTCATATTCACTTGTTTGGAAAGTCTTTTTTTAATTTTTCATTTATGCATTCAGTGGTTGCTTATTGTTTCGTTTGTTTTATCCTCAGGTAAGATACTTTGCCATTCATTTTTAGAGAGAGTGGAAAGGAGAGTGAGAGACAGAAACATCAATGTGAGAGAAACACATCGATTGGTTGCCTCCTGCACACACCCCAACCAGGGCCTGGGAGAAGCCTGCAGCGGAGGTATGTGCCTTTGACCAGAATGGAACCCAGGAACCTTCAGTCCCCAGGCCGATGCTCTATCCACTGAGCCAAACCAGCTAGGGCTATTGGTTGCTTCTTGTATGTGCCCTGACTGGGGATAGAACTTGCAACCTTGGTGTATTGGGACGACGCTCTAATCAACTGAGCTACAAGGCCAGGGCCTATTGGTAAGGTCTTTAACCTATACTTAAACTCATGCTTATAACAGAAGCTTTGCAGTAGCGCAATGCAGATGCTTATTATGGTTCACATAGGAGTGGAACTATATAGTTTATAGAGCATCAATGTTTCTTTGCACGTAAATTGAATATTTAAGTCATCGATTTTAATCTCAACATAAAAATTACTCATATTTCAGATTATCTTAGATAAGTTAACAGTATTATACCAACAAAACACCAACATTTCACAACTTAATAGTATGAATACTGAAAACTGGTCTCCAACAAGTATTATTCCTGTCTTATAAACAAAGAAGCGACACATTAAACAACTTGCTTGAGGTCACACAGCTAGTAAGTGGTTTGGCCAGGATTTAAAATGCAGGCAATCTGAAATGCAGCCCATAGATTAACCACTACACTAAAGGCTTCTCAGAGAAAGTAGTATCTGAGTGGGGCCTTCAAAGAAGGCCCTCAGGGCTCAAGGGAACTGGTAAAGGCTGAGATATCCACTCTGGGAAAGGAGTTAGAGAACTATAATAATTAGAATCAAGGCTCATGAGGACAACCTCAGGAAAGGTTAGACATCTAACTTTTCCATGGAGTCAGTCACCGTATTTATGGAACTTTGCAGTGTTGGCCTCAATTGTATGGATCCTGAGGGGAAGGTGAGCTGTGTGCTGAAGACCAATGAAAGGGAAAAGGGCCTATGGTCTGACAGTATGGCCCAAGAGATTGGCTTCAGGTGCTGGCAGGGTAGAAGTGGGATTGGACCAGGAGGGAGGGGATGATCCATGGGTGGTCTGGTGCTTACACAACCTTGGCCAGAGGTCTTCCTTGAAGCCTTCCCTCCTTTTGCTCATTAATGACAAATTACCTCCTTCTTCTCATGTAGAGCTTCTGTGGCGGATGACACAGGGACCCTCGCAACATGGTTCCTATCTTCCAGGATCGCACCTGGAGGTGACTTTGGCCTGGGACACTTTGAAATAAAAAAAATTAAAGTGCATTCAATAGTGAATATTAAGGTTTTCATTTAGTCAGATGCATTTAAGCGCACTTTAAAAGTAGAGGAGTTGTCCTAACTGGTTTGGCTCAGTGGATAGAGTATTGGCTTGTGGACTCAAAGGTCTCAGGTTTGATTCTTGTCAAGGGCATGTACCTTGGATGTGGGCACATCCCCAGTAAGGGGTGAGCAGGGGGCAGCTGATTGATGTTTCTCTCTCATCGATGTTTCTAACTCTCCCTCTCCCTTCCTCTCTATAAAAAAATCAATAAAATATATTTTAAAAAAATAAAGTAGAGGAGTTATGGGAAAGAGATGTGGAGGGGAGGGCCAAATTTAAACTGTGCAAGGAGAGAAGAAACCATTGATTGTTCTCTGAGCCATGTGCTAAGTTCAAAGCCGTGTGACTTTGGGCAAATCACTTCCTCTAGGTATTTCAAAACTGTAATTTATGTATGAGATATGGGAATTATACATGCAAAAACACCCATCATGCAATCAAACACAGAGTAGGTAGGTGCTCAATATAGCTGACTGTGGACCAGGAACTTTATAAAATTTTTCTCATTTAATCTTTATAATCCTGAGGATGTAGGTGCCATCCTCCCCTTATCTATACTAATAAAAGAGTAAGATGCATATTGATCAGACCTTCATGACACCCACCAGCCAGATAGGAATATGTATGTAAATTAACCCAACAAAGATGGTGGGTTAATTTGCATGTGCAGGCACCCAGCGAAAGTGGAAGGGGGGGGGGGGCGCGCAGGACACTTGCATCATTGCCATGGCGATGACACAGGCCTTCTGCACTGCCCCAGCTGCTCTGGGCCTCTGGGCAGCTGGGAAGGCAGAAAAGTGACTGCAGCTAGAGCAAAGGCGGTGCCAGCAACCAGGGGAAGGAAGGCCCGATCTTGCACGAATCTTCGTGCATCAGGCCTCTCGTGTAGATGATAAAAATGACAGTAAAGAGGTTCAGTAACTTGCCTGAGGTCACATAGCTAGGTAAGAGGCAGAACTCAGGTTATGTTGGCCTATCTAATAATAAAGTGGAGAGACAGAAATAATAATTAAAAAAAAGTTAATAGCTGCTTTGTCATCCTGGTACTGGGATAAAATAACAAAAAATGTTTAAATGTATAGCATTTTATACCTACTTAGTATCTTCTTTTCTTAAAATAAAAATTTTATTGACTTTTATAAAGAAAGAAGGGGGAGACAGAGAGAAAATCATCAATGTGAGGGAGAAACACTGATTGATTGCATCTCGTAACTGGCAACCTTCGGTGCATGGGATGCCGCTCAACCAACTGAGCTACACAGGCCAGGGCCCTAGTATACTCTTTTTATACTTACTGGGTATATGCAAGAATTCTGAGGTTCTTCTAAATTTTGCCAAGACACATTAGGGTTTGGAGTATCCCATATGACAAACCTCAACAATTACCAATGTAATTGTCATTGAATAGCCTGTTATTGCTAAATGGAATTCACATCAGGATGGCATTCTTTTCCAGCGCAATGATTTACGCAAAGGTGAGATGCACCGACTCTTGCTAATAATTCAACTACAACCTACAATCTAATCTCACCCCCCACCCCTACCTCAAACCCGTGTCTGCACTCCCCTTGCCCAAGCTCGGACACTGACCCCAATCTCACCCCTTCAGAGCCTTTGGACCCTGTGCATTCTCTGCGAGTGCCCAGCTCTGGGGACTCCAACCTTGAGGAGTTAAGTAACCCAGTGGCGGAAGCCAGCGACTCCTTGGCTGGGAAGAGGTGTCGGAGTGCGGCCACACTGCGCAGGATTCCGGGTTCCCGCCAGTTCTGGATTACGAAAAGCTAGGCGACACCATCAAGGGCTGCAGGCCTGGCACAGGGTCCAAGGCCTGCCCGGAGAGCGGCCGTCTAGGCGCGCGGACAGAGCCCCCGGAGATTCCCGAGGTAGGGCAAGCCTCGCGCCACGGGTGGGGCGGGGCGGTGGCAGGAGGCGGCTGCAGGTGAAGCCGCGGGACTAGCACACAATGGGCCGGGCCACCAGGCCGGACGCCGGGCACACACACCGCCGCACCACGTGGGCCGCAGAGCGCGCCAGGCCGGGCGCGGCGCGGCGTACGTGCGCGCGCATGTGCGTGCGTGCATGCGATTTGCGATCAGGCGGCGCTGCGGACAGCCCCGGCGGCAGGGCGGGGGGAGTTATATTGCGGGGTCCTTCCTCGTTCACCCTGGTTCCTTTCGGAGCGGAGACGGCAAATGGCGGACTTCGATACCTACGACGATCGGGCCTACAGCAGCTTCGGCGGCGGCAGAGGGTGAGGCGGCCGTGCGCGCACCCCAGCCGGGCGCGGGGGGCGGGCGGAGTCGGGGCCTCCGGGGTGGCGGGAGGCAGGGTCCGGGCCAGGCCGGCGGAGGCCTGGGAGAGGCGCCTGGAAGAGAACTTGGGGCCTGGAAATGGCGCGCACGGGGAGGGGCGGTTAGGCTCCCGGGGTCTTGCTCGCAGGGCGGATCCCTCGCTCTGCCGGCGGCGACGTGTTGTCCTTCCCCCTTCCTCGGCCGCCAGGCCGGACTGTAGCGGCCCTGAGCGCCCGGGAAGACGAGCTCCCGCTTCCAGCCCCATCCCCCAGGTCGGCACGGGGCTCTGCTGCAGCGCGGGATCGGGGCCGCCGCCTGCCCCGCTCGGGTTCCGGCCCCCGCCTCGGCCCCCCTGTGTTGGCCTGTGCCTCCGGCGCCCTGACCCCCTTCGCCGAGAGGCCTGCCAACTGGGTAAGGTCAGGAGGCCGAGAGAGGAGCGATCCCCTTCCCCTTCCGTGGCTGCGGGAGCCAGGGAATGGCCCGGTTCACGGCGGGAGCGGGGAGACCAACCAAAACAAAACACACATCAGAGCTTTCTTCTCTCCCCCCCCCCCCCCCATTATGGACAGTTGCTACGTGCTTGCTGGCAGAAATTTTTATTTCTCCCTAGTTTCTCATTCTGACCTAGAGAAGGAATCGCGTTTATAGCCTCATTCTTGATTCTGGCCATCCATACACTATATATAATTTGAGGCGCCCCGTTTAAAAGAAAAAAAATCATTAAGACAAGTTGCCCCCTGCAGCGTTTAGAAGGTAGGCTTATAAACATCTTGCTGTTTGTCAAGGACACACAGCCTTTGTGCGCTTCCACAGGAAGATTACTTTCCCAGGATAACACCACAATAGTGCCTGCTGAGGTGTCCAGTCTCCTGGGTTTCAATCCCCAGAGGATATCTTTATTTGGGGAAGAATGATCTTTTTAATGCCTTGGTTTTTTGGGAATGCCTCAGAACAGGCTTGTTTGCGTTTGGGAGAGTACCCATTATCACTCATTACACCATAACATGGAAGTGGAGCCACCTGTTAATTTTCAAAGGATATTTTATTTGCTAATAAAAAAGAAATAGATGTTGGATGACGTGTGAAATTGTTGCCTTTGGGGTAGGTTTCTAGACATCAGATTTGTACTTGAAATTTAATAACTAGGTTTTTGGGTTTTTTTGTTTGTTTTTTAACTTTCATTTAGAAGTACCCAGGGAAACTACTCTTAAACAGAATAAGTAGTTCAATATGAGGCAGATCCAAGGAGTTTTCATTGGTTGAGGACCAATGAAAAGTAAATCCTATCATACTGAACCTCGGGGACTTTTTTTTTTTTTTTTAATTCTACCTTTTCATAAATTTGCCATCTCTTCTAGTGAGTTGAGGTGTTTGAGTTAGACTTTTAGTGGCTGTCACTTTTGACAGTTGGGGTGACTTGAATAATACACAATAATCAAAAGTAAAATTCTCTTCCCCTGGCCGGTGTTGCTCAGTGGTCAGAGTGTTGGCTAGTGCACCAAAGGGTCTCTGGTGAGATTCCCTGTCAAGGGCATGAACCTGGATTGCAGGTTCAAATGCCTCATATTCATGTTTCTTTTCTTCCTCCCCGCCCCCCTCCTCCCCCCCCACCTAACTCCTTCCCACTGTCTTTAAAAGAATCAGTGGAGGAAATTCCTTTGGTGAGGATTTTTTTTAAAAAGGTAAAATTCTCTCTCTCTTTTTTTTTTTTAATATACACCCACTACCGGGGAAGTGCCCGCAACCAAAGTATTATACATGCCCCTGACCGGAATTGAACCTGAGACCTTTCAGTCCGCAGACCGACACTCTACTACTGAGCCATACCGGTTTCGGCAAATTCTCTTAATATGCTATTTCAAATATCAAAAAACAAATGAAAATGTTAGCCATTTGCCCAGATGTTCTCCAAAAACTGGTATGAGAGAACATTAGCTGGCATTCTACATCATCTAAGCTTCCTAATAAAAAGTCCCTTTACTGTTGTTAAGCACCTTCTACATATGACCTTGAAGTTTTCCATTTGACTTCATATTCATATAAAAGTACATAAGAAATATTGCTCATATTCTTAACCTATTGGTGAATTATGTGTTCATTCAGATAATGTCTGGAGTGAGTCCAAAAATTTCACAGAGGACCAGACTTGTATTGTGTTCTGTACCAAAGTTTTCCTTTTCCAGAAATGTTATTTTAATTTCATCAATACTGATTTAATTTTATCTGTTATTGGGATTTCTAAAATTTAGCAAGATGATACGATAGTTGACCAGATATTCTTTGATAAATTCAATTGTTATTTGAAGTGTGTTCACACCAATAAATGTCTTGGTACTGTTGCTTATGTTAAAATACAATGCTCAAGCATTATAGAAAATAATCCCATCGATGGAAACCAGTATTATATTGCTTTGCTTGGTATTTTTTTAAAATATATTTTATTATTTTTTTACAGAGAGGAAGAGAGAGGGATAGAGAGTTAAAAACATCGATGAGATGAGAGAGAATCATCGAACAGCTGCCTCCTGCACACTCCCTACTGAGGATGTGCCCGCAGCCAAGGCACATGCCCTTGACCGGAATTGAACCTGGGACTTTTCAGTCCGCAGGCTGACGCCCTATCCGCTGAGCCAAACCGGTCTCGGCTGCTTGGTACTTTTGGTAAGGCCCCTTCCCTCTAGTCCAGCAGTCGCCAACTGGTGGTCCGTGAGGTTCGAAAGGTTAGCAACCATTGGATTAAGGAAACCTTTGAAGCAGAGGCGCCAACTGGTGGTCCGTGACATCGGAAAGGATGGTGACCACTGCTCTAGTCTAAAACACCTTCGCTAGATGAGATGCCCAAACCATTTGGGTCACAGGTGAAAAAAATAGAAGTTTGAAATTTAGTCACAATCTAAAAACTTGGCTTTTATAATTACACCTTTTCCATAAGTTTACTTTTTAAAAAATATATTTTATTGATTTTTTTTACAGAGACAGAGAGGAAGAGAGAGGGATAGAGAGTTAGAAACATCGATGAGAGAGAAACATTGATCAGCTGCCTCTTGCACACCCCCTGCTGGGGATGTGCCCACAACCAAGGTACGTGCCCTTGACTGGAATTGAACCTGGGACTTTTCAGTCCGCAGGCCGATGCTCTATCCACTGAGCTTAACCATTTTCGGCTCCCATAAGTTTATAGTCATATGTAATAACCAGTGCAGTTGTTGGAAGCAATATTCAACAACTGCTTCATTTTCCCAGCCTATAAAGGCATTTCCTCAGCAGCCAAGAAGAGAACCAGAGGCCACATTGTTCAAAAAGCAAGTCAAAACATTCCAAATTATCACCCTGGCCAGTTTGCTCAGTTATTAGAGCTTTGCCCTGGGACCAAAAGGTGGCAGGTTCAATTCCCTTCCTGACCCAATCAAAATCAATCTCTCTCTCTCTCTCTCTCTCTCTCTCTCTCTCTCTCTCTCTCTCTCTCTCTCTCTCATATCAATGTTAAAATATCCTCAGGTGAGAATGAAGAAAAAAAAATTCCCCCCCAAATTATCAAAGAGTTGGTTGTGCCAAATCTTTAATATATTTTGGGGTTTGTTTTTTGTGTGTGTGTGTGTGTGTGGGTGTGTATGTGTGAATCTTTTTTTCTTTTTCTTTTTTTTTTTTTTAGTTTGCTAAATTAGCATTGAGGAACCAGTTTTTCATTTGCCATTGCCAATAAAGTGGAGAGCAATACTGATTTTACATTTCTGACTGCAATAAAAGCCTTCAGAGTGTTTAATCTAAAACCACCAATCCTGAAACTTGGGTTGGAATTAGCAAGAATGGAGGTTGATGAAATTGTATCTGCTAAAAATTGATTGAACTGCCGGGACCGGTTTGGCTCAATGGATATAGTGTCGGCTTGGGGACTGAAGGGCTCTGGGTTCGATTCCGGTCAAGGGCATGTACCTTGGTTGCGGGCATATCCCCAGTGGGGGGTGTGCAAGAGGCAGCTGATCGATGACTTTCATTGATGTTTCTGACTATCTCTCTCCCTTCCTCTCTGTACAAAAGTCAATAAAATATATTTTCTTAAAATTGATTGAACTACCAAACTCTTAAGTATTCTTTATCAGGTTCCAGGTAAGGGGGTTAGAATTCTAAACTTTGAGTCTTGTAAGGCTTAGCTTGGCATCTCTAAATTTCTAAGCATATTTTAACTTAAAACTGAAAAGAAAACAGTATATAAAAATAATAGCTATTGCCAAAACCGGTTTGGCTCAGTGGATAGAGCGTCGGCCTGTGGACTGAAAGGTTCGATGCTGGTTAAGGGCAGCTGTTCGATGATTCTCTCTCATCGATGTTTCTAACTCTCTGTCCCTCTCTCTTCCTCTCTGTAAAAATCAATAAAATATGTTTAAAAAATAAATAGTAGCTATTTCCACTGATACCAGGATCTGTAAAGGTATTGAAAAGCTGACTTTAAAATTCTGTTTACTACTTTGTTACTGAGTGGTTGGAGTGTCGGCCGGTGCACCAAAGGGTCTCGGGGCCAATTCCCAGTCAGGGGTTCTCTCTCCATCACCATCCCCCTTCCTCTCTTCCAGTCTTTCTCTCAAAAAAAAAAAAAAAAAAAAAAATCAATAAGGGGAAAATTCTGTTTACATATCAAATGACAAGTTGTTTTGGTTTGTTGTCATCCTTCTCCCCACTCCCCAGTCT